ATTCACCAGGGATTTCCAAGTGAGAATCACGTGAATAAATCTCGAACACTGTTATGAATTCGTGTTTGTGCCTGCCGTGATGTAACGTCTTAGATAAAGGATCGTTTAGAGGTATCACAACTGGAAATTTGACGTCAGGGGTTCTCATGTCTGACGAATATCAGATTTATGAGAACAGAAATGTGTCTATCGTAAGGATAGGCGAGGGGTCGGGTCGGGCAATGCTTCTGTCTTTTAGATTGTCAGTTAATTTCGTTCCTTAAGGGGGTGGGGTGGGTTGCAGCTTAGCACTTACCCATTTGATTTGATTTTTGCAAGCCTTTAACATTTTTACTCAGTTGTGCAGTCACTAACTAAAGAGATGTAAATTGAGAAACGGTGTATTTATTCGTGTGATTCGTTCGTATTTTAGTCTGATAGCTAAATGTATATTGTTTGTCTTCGTAGATTTTTCACTTAAGAATAATTCAGTTCTTTTTGAAAATAAAATGTCCTTGAATGTGGTCAATGGCTGAATTTAATCATGCACTTCGAATTATTTGAGGGTCTCTACACTGGTAGCATGTCTGACATTATTAAAAGTTATACTTTTCGATGACAACTATCGCGAGTTTTTGTTTATGTTTTTTGTTTTGTTTCATGTAAGTCATCACAACATGTAACATTTCGCAAGTACTTAGTAAATTCAAAGTTTCATGTCAACTGCCATTATGGATGCGAAGCTTTATGCTTCGTTCTTCCTAATATTACTTGATGAAACAACTTCGCAGCAGCAAAAATCAATGAAGCTGTTGGAAAAAGAATTTTAAAGGCCTCAAAGATAAGATATGTGGTTTGTAACCAATAACAGCGATTCACATTCCATCGTGTGAGACACATAAACATTAGGGTGCTGAGACTGCGCAGTACGGACCGGAAATCACCTTTAAAGTTTACAGAGTATAAATTTTTCTTATATAAAATGTCTCTCACTGCCTATGTTTTTCAAAGTTTCAATTGTTCAAACCCAAGACCAAAGGACAAAGAAACAAACCAAAAAAAACATAAACAAAAACAAAAACAAACAAACAAACAAACAAACAAAAGCAAAAAAAACAAAACAAAAAAAACAGAAAACCTCACCGGAAATGTACAAAAATGAAATCAAAGTTCTCACTAATCCTGGGTTAGCTTAATCAGGGGCTTTGAACAACACGGGCCTAAAGTCGATTTGTCTTTAAATTTAAATGGTTTGATTCATATTAAGTCCTTCAGCTCAAAATCAAACTATCAGACTCTAAATAAACAAAAGTTCATTAACAGTAAAATGAAGTGGACTTCAGTCGATTAGCATAGAAGAGACATAGAAAGGCTTCAGACGAGTCGCAAGTTACTGTCACCTCCATGTTTGTCGTGTGTCTCGTTATGAAATAGCCACGTTGTGCAAGGAGTAACGACAAAAACAAAAGAACAACAACAACAACAAAAACACAATTAACTATTGTCTTTCACGCTGAGCGTCATGTCCGTTGCCTGATAGTTTTTAATAGGAACGTCCTGTCACACTGTTGTGCTGGTAGTTAATGCTTTAAATAGGAAACGTTAGTGTGTCCAAATATATGCCGAGGAGTACTTTCACGGTATCTTTGTGTGATGCTGTTTGTTTTTCATAATCGGCTTTGGGAAATAAAATCTATATGGGATTTTCTTTTGAAATTTGAACATTAGCGTTAAGCCATGCTGAGAGTTCGAGAACTTGATAGTGTTAGCAAACTGAGGTAAAAGTGGCAAGATGACATGTATTTGGGCACTGTTTATTTTTATTTAGAAATGTCTGTACGCCCAGCGAAGGGGCTAAAAATTCTAACATACATGCTACTCTACTTCCGAGAAACTGATCATGCATATCTAGATAAAAATTCTCTACGTTCTCAAAGCCAGATCATCGCTTGTCTGCTTCAATACAGCGTTGCTAAGGTAACTAAAGAATCAGAGCTAAGCGACCCTCATTTGCATCGCATCAAACGGTTGCTAGCTGTGTTTCTCGAGTTAACATTCTCTAGTCTTGTACTGTAAATGGGACAATTCCTTTAAAGCAAAGTTTAGCCTCTGCAAATCATTCTAGTAGGCTTTTTCGTATACCTGAATATTCTAAGTACAATATACCCGTGTGTAAAGCGTTGGCCTTAATTAGTGTTCATGACACTTGAGTATTTGTTAATAGTTTTAAAAGTTAATACGATTTTAAGTAATTAGCTTCAACCATAGCACTCTAGCGACAAACGCACCGAAAGTCTGGCCCTAAGCCAGCCCCTTGATGTTGGTACCCCGGTATCTGCCTACAACTATACATAAACTTTACATGTAACTACTTTTAGCTGACCGAACTCCAAAGGTAGCGTGCGCGCTATTACAACTTGAACGGCACGATTCAACTATTTCCGGTTTGACTTTCACAAGCCATAATTAAAATTACATCAGCACAAAGGAGTTTGAGCTTTATATTTAATTTTGTTTGACATTTCCCTTGAAATTTCCTGTTTAGCTTTTGGTAATCACTGGATAGGGTCAAATGGCAAGCTAGAAGAATGCACTTCATAAATGAGTTATTACAGCGATAATTGTCATCTTTCTTCTGAGCTAACAAGATGAATTAAAACAGATCTATAGCTGACGCAAGTCGGGATTAAGGTGGCACACTTTTTCGTCGGGTTTATCCTTCCGCAATGAGTTTTAATGAAGCCCGTCGACGAGAATTAGATGACCCTTTCTAAGTAAATAACTGTCGTTGGGTTGTTTCAGGTTGAAATGCACAAGACGTACGAGATACTGTTGACGTTACTTAAGTATTATGCGTTAAAAACAAGCTCAGCACCTTGGCATAACTTTCTTTTTGGACAACAAAGGTGATAAATGGGACCACCGAACATCACAATGGAGTGGAACCAATCATAAAATGAACAGATATTAGGGTCAATTAACACTGCTTAAACCACAAATAGATTCCAAATTAATTCTTGTCAACAGCTTTTGTCTACCAAAACGTGTTTGTGTCACTGCAGCAAATAAACTTTTCAATTTTGTGCCCAGCATCAAATCGAAAGTGTGATTGGTTTTCTGACCTATTGATTTAGTCTTATCTACAAGTCTTCAATCATTCTCGAGAACATTCTCAAAGAACCAGCCTCATCATCGTGATAGCTATTTATACGTGTTAATCTTAAACCTACACGGTCACTATTGTTTTCCTTATAAAGTTCTAAATATCGTAGTTGGTCATCTATCTATGATAAAAATTACACGACCACTATTTTGCGAATGAAGTGCACTTCGACATTAATTCGTCAACAACTCGTTGAGCTGGAGTAAAAACATGTCTTACACTTTGCAGATACATAAGAGGCCACAAATTGGACAGTTTATCGCTTCTTCCTTCCAAAATCCTATCATTGTTACGTTTTTGTCGGCGCTTGGTATTGAGCGAGTTGTAGTCATTTCGCTCTGGTGATACCTTTTATGATATTAACATTACGACAATTATTAGATACGATAACACTGTTATTTAAAGTAACATGTTTGGTCCTCCCTCAGGACGTCATCAATGCAGAGATAATTGCGACTCCTTGTATCAACCAACCCCATAATAAACGCCTCACAATTAAATAAATTCTCATTAAAATGCATGATTGTGCTTAAATGTAGCTGGCGTTAATGATTGTTCAGCTGTACCTGCTAGATTTAGAATGTACCATGAACTGAAAATTCTTGGCGAAAAGTTCGAACATTTTGTCGCGAGATTTGTTTCTCTTTTTTTTTTTTAGCACTGCAGCGATTTAAACTGACGTTCCATTCCAAATGTCAAAGATCCTGGAAGCAAGCATTTAGCTTGGTGATGGACAAAACAAGGGAGGGGACAACATAATCGTTGCAATATCGATTTCAGCCGCTTTCACTGCTGCAGTTTTGAAGGCTATCCTGTCCTAATTAAAACTTGCACCGCGCTTTTTTTTATTTTAAGTTGGCGCTATTTCACCGCTACTGTGCTTCAAAAGGGGCTTTACAACACTGACATTTTAAAGTAATAAAGAAGCATTCGTGAAGAAAAGAACAAAAAAAAAAAAAAAAAAAAAAAAAAAAAAAAAAAAAAAAAAAAAAAAAAAACAAAAAAAAAAAAAAAAA